TGGTTTCCAAAATGATTATACAATTTATATCTTAAGTTTCAGTTGACCCATATTCTCACCAGCACCTTTGTTTGCAAATCAATCAACCTTTTTCATTTATGTTAGGCTAGTGGATGAGATAGGTATCTCATCATGGTTTGTTTTTTTTTTTTTTTTTTTTTTTTGGTTTTTTTTTTTTTTTTTTTGTTTTGTTTTGTTTTGTTTTTGTTTTTTGGTTTTTTTTTTACGAAATTCCCAATAATTAATTACATTGAATATATATATTCATTTTCTCAATTCCCTTTGCGTAGTCCTTTGGCTTGTCTGTCCTTGTCCTTTGTCCTTTTGGAACAGGGCTGTTGATGTCCTCGTGTGCTATCTGCTTGTTGTGCACTCAGGTTTTTTCTGAGATAAATGGTTCATCGGAATGTTCTCAGAAGCTATGGCATACCCTTTCTCCTCTCTGACAGTGTGCTTTGAAGAAAAGTAGATTGAGTATCATTTGATACAGTTCATTAACTATTCTTGTTTGCCTGTTCTTGCCTACTTCCAATTCTTTGCCTATGTTTACAAAGACATTTCATTTTGTAATTTTAGCCTTTAAATTAAGACTGACACTGGACCAGTAAGTAGAGAGACCTTCAGCTAGCTAATGCAAGCAGCCGTCAGTGCAGGGACCTACCACGTAGAACGGAAGAACTCATTTCCTTGCATTTGAAGGTGGGGAGAGAAAAGAAGGGATTATCCATGATGATGAACTGGAACTGTTGCTCTTCAGAGAAAGATGGAACATGTGTTTTGGTGGGGAGCGTCTCGTGTAACTCTAAGTAATGAAGGAGTAGCCCCTGGCTCCTGGAATCACATGTGCACACAGCAACAGGTCTCTGTTTCAGTGTAACAGTCCAAAAAATAATAATGCTGCAACCTAATAACTTAAAAGAACTTTAATGAACCATCTATTGCATTTTTAAAGTTAGCTAATAAGTTTCAAAAGGAATATTCAGGTTATTTAACATTGTTTTTAAATGGCTGCATCAGAAAAAAATCTATTTGTTTTAAATTAAACTATTTCATCACTTGTTTAAAAATGTATTTTGGATCTGAGTTTGGTAATATTGTTTTACCTGCTGTTGTACTACCACAGACTATTGGCTTTTAGTTTCCTAAAGAGAAAAAAATGCCTTTTTACTAGAAAGCCCTTGTATATTGCCAGTGTTTTCTGTTTGGGAAAATCTAAGGATTTACTGTGGTTAGTGGTACAGAAGAAATGTGGGTTTGATAAACTAGTGCCTATGCTTTTAATTTGTGTTTGATATATAGTAATAAGGAGGAATGAATGTTGATTATTTCGTGCCAACAGCCCAGAATTGTCACTTCTATAATCTCTGCCTCCAAAGTTATTTAATTTTCTCAGTGTTTGGATGTTATTTTTTGTAAGTGTGTTAATAAAAAGAATTAGAAAAATATCAATATAAATATTCTTAAACATTTGCTGGGTCATTTTTCCACAAAACTTGTTTGTATAGTATAACACACTCTGAAGAGCTGACTTTTCTCAGTTTTCATACCCTGGAAATCACATTTTTGTAAAACTGGGGATCATTCATAATTGTCAGATACTTTTTTAAATTATCTCAGAACATCACTTTTATAAACAAAAAAGAGGTTTTTTTTTTTTACTTTTTTTTTTTTTTTTAAGAAAAGAAAATCAAATACATATGTGGCCCAGGTATCTGTCTAACTCTAGGGTGGTCTAGACTATGTCTGTCTGAATTGATTTAACTCACTGTACATGTTCAGTTTTGACAGCCTGGTGCATGGTCCTTTTAGATCACATGAAGTTTGATTTGCAAACATTTCTATAGCTGAACTTGTGATATGTGGTTGCCTCCTTAGCAGACATCCTGACCATGTTTACCATTAAATCTATATTCATTTTCAAGTGTTTTATTAATTTTTGCATATGGCAAGATTCCTTCTCTTCCCTCTACCTCATTGCCTACAGTTGATCTTAATACATTTCTCAGTTTTTTTTAAACAAAAAAAAATTAAGACATAAAATTCTTCGTCTTTATATTTGACGTAGCACAAGGATTGAGGTTGAATTCTTCAGCATGGAAACCAATTCTTCCAGCATACTCTGTAGGGAGCACATCCTTCCCATCGGTGAATTGTGTTGATGTTTCTGTCAAACTAGATGTGCAAGTCTTCGCTAAAATCTCTTTTCTGTTTTGTGGTCTTGTGTGTTTATTTTTATGCTGGCACAGTATGATCTTGATGTAGCTTTAGAGTAGATCTGGAAATCACACAATGTTTGTCTTATTTGTCCTTCCATTTTAAAATAATTTTAGGCATCATCAGCCCTTTGCATTGCCATTTGGATTTTACAGTTAGCTTTTCAATATTTGCCAGGTTTAAAAAAAAAAAAATGCCTGCTAAGATCTTGATGGTGATTGAGCCTGTAGGTTATCATGAAAAAAGAAGACAACCTAAAATTTTCAACATGATATTGTTGTGCATGTTTTGTAACCTTTTTCTGACTAATTCTTTCCCTGTGAGTGATAGCCAGGACATGATTCTGGATTGATAATTTCATATCTGCAGCCACCATCATCCTTGATTCTTTTTTCTTTCTTCTCCCCTGGTGATACTGGACAGAATCTCCCTGCGCTCCAAGAGTATGGAGGAAGAGAAAAGAGGGCGATGTCTTGTCATTCTCTTCCTCCCACTGTTGAAGTAGAGTGGGCAATATTGTGTTTGTGTGTGTGTGCGTGCGTGCATGTGTGTGCATATGTGTGTGTGTGCATGTGTGAGTGTATTGTGTGTGAGTGTGTGTGTGAGTGTTTGTATGTGTGAGTGTGTGTCAGTGTATGTGTATGTCAGTGTGTGTGTGTGCATGTGGGAATGTGTGTGTGAGTGTATGTGTGTGAGTGTGTGTGTGTGTGTGTGTGTGTGTTCATGTGCACATATGCAAAGGCAAGAGATAGGCATTAAGTGTCTTCCTCAGCAACTTTTTGTTTTATTTATTTATCTATGAAAGAACCTAGAATTCATTCATCCAAGAAACTAGCTGGCCAGTGAGCTCCATGGATCTCTCTGACCACTCCTTTTCTCATGGTAAAGTTACAGGCATATACTACCATGTCCAATCTTCTACATGGGTACTGGGAGTCCAGACTAGTGACCTCATGCTTGTGTGGTGAACACTTGACTGAGCCCTCTTCCCAGCCCCAACATGCTCTTTTTTTATGGTTATTTTTTTTAATTTTTTAAATTTATTTTATATAACAAAGTCCATTTAAATGAAAACAAACATTTATAGACAATATTTGGGAATTTCGGCGTTGTTCTTTCCAAACTACTTCCTGCTAAGGGCAACATGCTCTTTTTTAATGCCTCCATTCCTTTGTCTTCCTGATCCTAGCCAGCAGGCCTTGTGTCTGGCATTGCTGCTGCATTTGGTATGCCCGTCACCTCTGCTTTAAGATGTGCTGCTTTCTGAAGGAAGGTCATCTTCACCCAGATCCCCTCAGCCTGGGCTCATGCTTCCATTTCATCCCTGTGGAAGCATTTCCCCTCCCACAGACAGCAATGCCACAGGCACAGCATGATTTCTGCTCTCTCATATGGAGTCAGTGCCTCCAAGGCACTCTCATCAGGACCAGAGGACCCCAATGCACACCACACTAAGGGCCTTTCGTGTGATTAGTTCTGCAAGCTTCTCCCCATGGACGCTTTCTCAAGATGGCACACAAATTGTGTGACATGCCACAATGTCATCAACTCTGGGGGGGGCAACAAAAGTAGAGAGTGGTGTCTGTTCTGTTGCTATGCACTTTACCAGTTTTCCAGATGGGGAAATGAACTGTCAGTCTCTGCTGTGCGGCACCCCACTTTGTTCAGTAATTGTCTGGGAGCCTCCACCCTTTTTGTTTAAATCATGGGAAAGCTCTGAGAAGACATCATTTCTCACTTAGAGCCTGGGAACCCGCCCTCCCTCTCTTGCATCCTCAGTAAGCTCTTTATAATAGTTTGTTTGCTGGGTGGTGACCGTGGCAATAGGGCTGCTTAGCGGCTTTTCCTAAACTCTGAGGGGATTAGCGGGCCCCAGTGTTGACAGCTGTCTTTAGACTTGGAATATTACTGCCTCATATTTTCAGGTGGATCCCCAAGGAAACAATAATAGTCCCACCCAGTATCTTCTTCTATAACCAATAGGTCAAGTCCCTCTGCTGCAAAATCCAAACATGAAGACAAAAGTTGTTTGTTTTAAAAACAAACAAACAAAACACACACGCACACTTCATCTAATTCTATGCCCAATACTTGAAAATCTGAATAAACTTTGAAATGCACTAAAGCAGGCTAGAAGCCTGAAAACACTCGACATGGAATAAGCAAATTAAAAGTCCATTCTGAGCAAAATGTGCAGTCATGAGTGGGAAGACAGGGTGCTTTCTTTTGGTTTCCAAGAAGCAGGAAGGGGGGGGGGGATAAGGGGAGAGGAGAGGTGGAAGAGAACAGTGACAAACAGTGAGGGACTCTTTACTTTCATTCTTGGCTCCCATGGACACCATGAGGGGCACTGCAGGCCTCTCTGGGGAGGGCTGGAAGTTGGCAAGCTTCCTTCATTCTCCAAACACTTAGAGATGTGGCCTCTTCAAGAGGGACTGGTACCCATGGCTCAAAGAGGCAGCATTCCTGATCCCGGGAGATAGGGAGAAAGCAGAGAGGCCTCAAGTGTAGTCAGCGTTCTTCCAGCAGCCCTCTCCAAGCTCCCTCTTCCCCTTTTCACGGGCTCAGGCCTTTAGTGAAGAAAACAAGTTCAGTAAAGACGACTTAGGCTACTGCAGCTCAAGAAGCAAACATTTTCATGGTGAGAACCTGGGTTTGCAGGTAAGTGCCGCCTCCCTTGTTCGTTGGTGATGTTTTTGTCTCTACTCTCGAATCTAAAGATGTAAAACAGTCTCTTAAATTGAGCTGCTTTGTGTCTGACCGACCGCATCCCCTTTAGCGATAGTCCTTTTCCTGAATTGTGGGAGCAAGCGACTGCTGTCCTGAACACCTTCTGCACTGCAACCCCGAGGGGAGTATTGGGAGAGAAAAGGTATGTCCCTTCCTGGGAGGGTTCCTGGAGTGAAGGAAGTAGAAGTGTGGGTTTGGGTGTTGTGACTTTATCTGCATTTGGAGTTTAGTAAGTTCATTTTCACACTAAGTGGTGAGCAATCACCAGAGGCCAGCATCTTGGCTTTGCTCTTTTCGGTTGTGGTACCTGGAAGACACTGCCTTCACTGTTTCCAAGCCATGAAGAGGATGGACAGAAGCAGGGCGAGGGGACCACTGTATAAGCAGTTTGACTTGGAGAGAAAGAATGCCAGGCAAGCTGAAGCTCGCCTCAGCCTGAGGCTGCAAAGGCTGGAGCTCATCTGCCTCTATCATGTGAAATCGCTGGCCAGGGAACAGAGGCAGCTTCAGAAAGAACTACAGCGGCTACAGCAAGGTGAGGCTCTGTCCTAAGGGATGCTCTGCCCCTGCTTCTGGTCCTAAGGACACTGTCTCCATAAGGAACAGTCTACCCCAGAGCGGGGTGGGGATGTAGCAGCCTGGGCCTCACTGGGGAAGGGGAAGTGTTAGCAGCGCAACAAGTGCCACCATCTCCCTCTGGATTTATGCAAGCCTAAGCCCCCTGGTCCTCCAAACTCCATAGCTCCTCCTGCTGCCTGGGCCTCAGTCTTCTTGAATGCTCCAGGCTTCCATCACTGTCTGGTTTCCAATTGGCTCTCCACCTCCCCCCCCCCCCCCCCCCCCCCCCCGCTCCCTCACCCCTGTCCTTGTTTGAGTCTTCACGCTGCCCTCTCTTCCCTCTATCAGAGATTATCTGATTTGACTCCTTTGTCTAGTTTGCCTTTCTCTTCGGGGGTCTAGCAGCCAGTTATTGAAATGCCAAGGTATTTTATGAAAGTAAGTTAAAAAGAAAACCTTTCTCTGGGATTTTGACCTCTGATTGGGAATAGGAGTGGCAATGCTCATCTTGTGAAATTATCCGAGCTTTTGGTGAGAAATTATCACGAACCTAACTAAGCCCAAAGCCTTTCTTAGATTTGACAACTTCAATTACTCAGGGCAGCTGGCAAGGTCCTTTCAGAATGAACCCTCTCCTGTGGTCTTGTTGGAAGCAGGTGAGATTTGTAGAAGCCTGCACTCCTCGTTCTGTTTGTTGCTGTTGCTCTTGTTGTATTCGTTAAGTAATTAGGTTTCAACATTCCTTCAGAATCACATGGAGTTGGTAAACTCAGCTTCTCAGAGCATCCCTCCTGACTTGAGCCAGGTGCCAGAACTCCGGGTTGTGTTCTGGGTGGGATGCGGCCATTTCAGGAGGGAAGCCAGATGACATGCTTAAAGTCAGGACCTTCTAGGGCTACACAATCTCAACAGCAGACTCACAAAGCAAAAGCAGCATCGAAACGAAGGCAACTCTTTCACATTTTCAACGATTTCTCTAGCTTCCTCGAGCTTGAACAGTGACCCTGTCTGAACTATACTCTGTTTTGAACTCCCCTGTCTACAGTAAGTGGTTAAGCCAACTTGGCATACGAATGATGCTGGAAAAGGCATCTTAGAAACCAGTTGGTTGGTTCTCACATTAATTCTCAGAAAGGAGAGCAAGTATCCATGCTGGGGGGGGGGGGAGGGGGGGAGAAGGGTCAGTAAGTGTTACATAAGGGCTGGCCCAGCACTGCAGCACAGAGAACTGGTCTCAGTCACAGCCTGTGGAAAGGGTCAGGACCAAGAGGCAGACAGCTTCAGAGATCAAGGTCTCCAGGTTCTGCATCTCACACTGAACAGTCAAGTCACAGGAAGGAGAAGGAACGGTTGTATACCCTCTTGGTGTTCTCTAGATGTGTATTCAGCAACAGTTTCCAGTGGTTTATTTAATGGAACTATTACCACTGAGATGCAACTATTTGCCCATTAGTGTATTTTTTCCCATGCATATTGTCAGCCCTCATCTTAGAGAATAGGGTCAGTGCAAAGAAATTAGCCTCAAAATTCAGCATTCTTTTCACTGCTGCTAAGAATGGTTATTCCAGGTCAGGTGCTTTTCTTTGATTGAGTGGATGGTGATTTGGCTGGCTGGTTGGCTGGTTTGGTTTTCCAGAGGTGTTGATGTTATTGTTGTTGTTGCTGCTGCTTTGTTTACATTTTGTTTTGAGATAGAATCTCACTACATAGCCCAAACTGGCCTCAAACTCAGGATCTTCCTGCTCCCATCTCCTGAATTCTGAGATTACAAATCTGTGCTATGGGTCAGGCTACACAGGGGCTGGGATGGACATTTGGACAAATAAGGTCTCTTCACTTTGAGATGCTTGTTTACACTGTCAGATAGCTGAGGTTTTATAAGGCTGGTTTAAAAAAACAAACAAACTGTGCTTTATAAATTCCATAACATTTTTAAATGCTGAGAATGGGATTATTCACAAACTAAGAAGCAGGCACCAGAAGCCTCCTGCCCCTGTTAAAAGGCTCTTATGAGGATTTCCCCAAGAGGTGGTGTGTGAGCAGAACCTAGGAGAAGAGTAAAGTGACAGAGGAAGAGAGGGATTGTGGAGAGATGTGTAGCAGGAGATCATTCCTGGAAGAAAGGAAGAGTGTATGCAAAGGGATACGAATGGGCGTGGTTTGCCAGAAATAGTTCCGTGCTGCTCAAGTGTGCCTGAACTTGCAGAACCTACACTAACCAGGCATTGTCTCCAGCCAGCACTACACATGGGTAAATCCCACCATGCAGGATCTGGGTACAGGGAGAGTCCATATTCACATTTTAGCTTTTGAGAAAACAGCTTAGGACACAGGACATAGCCAGCATAGAGCTGATGGAATTCCAAATGCAGGCCTTGATGCAAAACCTAAACTAGAGCACTGTCAGGAGGAGAAAATATGGAGACCAGCTTTTCAATACATTTGGAAGAAGAATTGTCAGGTTTCCTTGACTAATTACGTGTTCAAACATAAAAGAAGTGAGAGCATACTGTCAGGCTTGAGGTAGGCCATCAAATGTACAGGCTGAATCAGATAACTAGGTCGCCATAGCACCATACCACTGTGGTGAGGAAAACAGGGGAAGATGAAGACACTGAGAGAAGATATGCTCATGTCTGAACCTGTTCACTCTGTTATCTCAGCTGCGGAAGAGTGGGGGGGGGCACCTAGAAAAGCAACTCAATCCTTTATTAGAAATCGGTTTTTAAAAACCCATGGAAAAATAACTCAAAATAGCCCCAAGAAGATAACACAGCAAAGGACTCAAAGAAGTGATCAGAGGAGTTTCATGTGATGTCCATGCCCCTTGTGTGGTCCCCTAACCTTATTGCCATTGCCTCGTACATTCTAACAGAAGCAGGGAGCTTCTGGGAGGGCAGTTTGCTGGTGTATGTTTCTTTGTTATTCTTGCTTGGGATTTTTGATTTGGGTTTAGTGGGATAGGAAGCACTTGGCCTTAGGGATTGAAGCCAGGGCCTTGTGCATGTATAGTGAGCTGTCTACCACTAAACAACACCCCTAGCCTTAACCACTATAACTTTAAGTGAGTCCCATCAAAGCAAAAACCAATGTAAGATTTTTCTTTCCCATATGACTCAGTCTCAAATGCCTTGAAAACTAATTGGGTCAGTGTGTTCTCTTCAAGCTGTGACTACGAGAGACCAGAACATCAACTAGGAAAATGGAAAGTCCACTTAACCATGGCCTCCAGCAGTTGCAAACCCTTGCCTCGGGTAGAGGGAAGGCATGCAACTGTAGTAAACAGACAAAATGTTCACACCCAGTTGCTTTCTTAAACACTTGTGCTTGCCAAGTAAAACATTCAAACAAAGCCCACCAGGGCTGGGGCAGTTGCAACATCTAATCTCGGTGTCAAAATCCTCTCTGACATGTTCTGGGTAAACAGCAGGAACTGCAGGAAGCTTTACTGTTTTCAAACATTGCATCAGAGGAGAGCAACATGTGATGAGGACCCAGAATCTTCACACACCTGATCTCTGAAAGCCCAGCCTTCACTTTCCTCTCCTATTGCACTCATTTTCTAGGCTGCACAGAAAAGCATCAAAACCCACACAGCTCAACCATAGAGCTTCGCTGTCTCACCTCTGAAGCTTTGAAGTCAAAGTGGGAATGTGAGCAGGGGTTCCTCGGGTGTGAGGCAGGAGCAGACCTTCTCTTCTGTGTGTAGACCGCAGGTCCCTTCACCCTGCCCTCTTTGTGTGTCTGCTCCAATTGCTACTGTCATAAGGACGCTATCACAATGGTTAGAACCCGCCATAAATGGCCTCGTTTTAATTTGACCATGTCTATAAAGTGCCTATATCCAAATAATGTCACAATCTCAAGAACTAAGGACCAGGACCCCAGTAAATGAAAATTTGCATAATTCAGTCCACATTAACTCATTTTAAGCTTTATTTTATTTGTGCACACATGTGTCTAAGTAAGTATATGAGCACATGTGTATGCAAGTGTTGACAGAGACCAGAAGAGGGTGTTAGATCCCTTGGAACTGGAGGTGAAAGTGTCTGTGAGCTGTAGATGTGGGTGCTGGGATCCCAACTGTTGGTCCTCATCGTTGAGCATCAGGCACTCTTAACAGATGAGCCATCCTTCCAGCCCTTTGGTTTGTTAATTATCTCATAGCAGATATCATCAAGAAAAGGCTCTCCTCTCATGTGGAGAGTGGAATTCAGAAGAGACCAAGAGATGGCGTCACATTCTCACCACAAACAGGACAGAGCCACACAGTCCCAGACCCTAAAATCAGGTAAGAATAGGATTGTTTAGGTATGACACTGAATCCCACTTCCCAACCAATCTCTTTAAAACATCCCCCTCCATTTGAGGAGAGGCTGCCTTCTCCTTCTATGGTGATATATTATGATATAATAAAGATTGCCTCAAGTATCAGAATGCAAAACCAGACACATGAGTTAGCTATAGAAGCTACGTGGTGGTGGTATACACTTTTAATCCCAGGGCTGGAGACAGAGGCAGGTGGATCTCCATTAGTTCAAGGCCACATTGAGCCACAAGAAATTGATCCAGTCTAAAAGAGAAACAGCTCATACAAATGAGATCTCAGCACTTGGGAGCCCAAGCCTTTAACCCCAGAATTTGAGAGGTATAAAAGGAAGAAGCAAAGGTCTCCTGAGAGAATTAGTCTCCAGCCACACTGACGAAAGGACAGCCCTTTCAGCATGAGGTAGAGGTAAGAGCTAGTGGCTTTGCCTCTCTGATCTTCAGCTTGAAGTTTGAACCCCGATATCTGTCTCTGGCTTTATATTTTTCATGTTTTATCCTTTCTTTAGAGACACACTCCTGCCCCTCGCCCTCCACCTCTTCCCACCCACTTTACCACCCCAATTGAAACCACACACATACACATAGTCTAATAAATGGAAAGACCTAACTAGGATCCCCTTCATTTTTCAAAGACATTTATTTCTCTTTTTCACCCAGGATATTGGCAACCAATAGGATCCAAGAAATTAAAACTAAGATTCAGGGGCCCTCTTTACATGACTCTGCCCTCAAAGATGCCCTGAGAAACGAAGAGCACCTGCAATGTCAACGTGACAGACACAGCTGCTACAAGGAAGGGAATTCACAAGCCCAGGAGGGAAAGTCTACAAAGCCCCTTAACAGCAGGGACCACAACAAGGATGTCTCTGTCCCATGTCATGGTCAAGAGATCTCCACCAACAGCACAGAAGACAGCCCCGTGTCTAGCTCAGATGGTGACAGGGGGTCAGCATCTGCAGATGAGACCAGATCAAAAAATGCTGGTCAAAAGCTACATGGGGATGCTGGAGACCAAAATGCCCCAAGCTCTGTGGATTGTGCAGAGAGCTCCAAAGGCAAATGCACAAAGCCAACCTTCCTAGAGTTGTTTGCAAAGGCCAAAAATGCCCACTATCTCCGCCACAGGGTGCCCCCTGAGTCTGAGAGGTTGCTTAGCATTAGGGAGATATTTGGACATGGAGACTCCTCACTCCTAAGAGAAGGGGGAAAACTGTGAAAATAATACCAAGTTCTTTCCTCCCTGTCTGCGTAATGTAGCCTGGCAATAAGGTGCCATAACCACTATGGAAATGCGACCCTCAAATAGCTGTAGTAAGTAGTACACAGAAATAAACAGAAATCCATGACAACTTTCTTTTGCATCCTTAGGGCCTCCTACCCTTTTATATGGTCTTTCTCATGATAAACTTTCTTATAATAAAGGATACTATGAAAGGGAAGAGAGGGGATATAATGTGAAAATATTTTAATTGAGAACTCGGACTTGTTTTGATGGAGACAAAGCCTTGTTTGCCCAAAGGGCCTTCTCATTGAAGAGGTGCTTATAGCGCCATCTGCTGGTCAAATGGCATAGCTGGTCGCCTTGTTTCATTTCTTTTGGGGATTGTGTGGGAACCCAGCTGAAACTATGTAGTGACATAGTCTCCAAATAAAACCTGTTCTCACCACAGTTAGTACTCTTTCTTTGAAGCTCCTTCTTCCCTTGTTTCTCTTTTCTTCCTTCTCTCCAACTTCTTGCCCTCTACTCCTTGTCTTCCTCTCCCTCCTTTCCTTACTTCTTTTCTGCCCTTTCTAGTAGTCCCAGTGGATTCCCTTTCCCGTTTTAACATCAATACCAAATATTTTGGGATCCTAATGGGAAAAAAAAAAAACTAATCTGTGTTCTTTCCTCTCCTCTCTAATAAAAATATCTTAAAACTTCCAGTACACTTTCAAGTTATACCAGATTCAGCCAATAACAAACTGACTCGCAGTGAAAGAATAATTTCCATTTAAAAATTATTCTTTTAAGCTAGTGTGGTGCCACAAGTTTATAACCCCAGAATCCCAGTATTTGGGAAGCTGAGGCAGGATGATTTACAGAGGCCAGTATGAGCCACATAGCAAGACTCCGTCAAGAAAAATTCTTAGAGAAAATAAAGACCACTGTTTTAAGTAAGTAGATCTGCATAACATTTGTTCCACTGTAAATTAACTGAGTAAACTTTGTTTCCCACCCAGACAGTCCAAATTTCACACTTAAAACAAAATGGTGTCATATGTCACCAGCAAACAACAGCTCACTATTAATAAACACACTTTAATTATACTGCTCACTGAATTCATACCAAATAAGATTGTGACTTTTGTCATCGAATTATTATTTACAATGACTTCATCAGAAAAACTAGCTTGTCGTTAGAACTACAGGGTCAGATTGCAACTATTAAACTCAATTTTTCAACCTTATAGCAAATTTTGACACCAAAAGAATAAATTCAGGATCTATATATTTATTTTGGACTTATTTATTTACTTTGAATTATTTTTTTTTTTTTGAGACAGAGGTTAAACTATGCTTTCCTGTGTTGGCCCTGAACCCCCAGGTCCAGTGGTCCTCCTGCCTCAATCTTCTGAGGAGCTGGGGTTGCAGGCTCCTACCACCAGAACCTATTTACAATTAGACAAACATATTTGTTGTGGTCTAGCTTGAGGCTATCTTGAAGAAATGAAACTATTTATATCAAAGATGATAAAGGACCCAATATTCTAATACTAAAGCTCCTAGGGATTAAATTAATTTGAATTTAATGACAAAGTATGAATTAATTGCATTTAGTTTAATAACACAATTTAATTCCCATTTGAGATGCCTGGTGTTTAAATTCGTAACTCATAATAGCTCCCATTTTCCAGAATCCCCTGCCGTTCCAAACTTTCCACACAGCATACCAATTCCAATTGCGCCTCAGAACTCCAAAGATGGACAGAGCAGAGCAGAATGTGTCCTTGGTCTCCACACTGTCCTCTCTCCATCTACCTTGCTACCACCTAACTGAAGTTACAAAAGCTTGCCTTGCAAAATTCAATTGTTTTAGCCCAGCCTTTGATCGTCAAATGACAAGGCAATAGTTTATAGTAGAAGTAACACAAGAAATCTCCTTACAGTGTGTTCTCTAATAGGAAAGGCAGGTCACAGACAAAACTGTATGGTTCGCAAATTACTTACACTGGTCATGAATGTAGAGATTTCCAGTACACAGAACCCCCTTTACAAAGTGCCCAGAACTGGGGAGAGATGCTGTGTCTCCACTTCCTGATGGAAAAGCTTTCCTCTTCACTGTATTACCCAATTGCCTTCTATGTGGGGTGCATCTATTCACTGTATTACCAGAATGCCTTCTATGTGGAGGGCAACTCCTTTCTTTCTGGAGGCAGAGGCATCTGCACACTCAGAGGTGATGACTGAGCTTCTCTCCTCAACTTGCTCTACGCTGTAACATAGGCACTCCATCAGTTCTGCAAGGAAGACTTAAAACTGATCAAGAACAGCAAGAACTGGCACCTAAGAAGTTGATGGCTCAGCGGGAAAGGAGCTTGCTATGCAAGCATGAAGACCTGCATGCAGATCCCCATCATCCACATAAAATCCAGGTGTGACCAAACACACCTGGAATCCCAGCACTGGGGGGAGGAGAGGCAGAAACAGCTAGGTCCCAGGGGCTCGATGCTCATCAGATCTGCCACAAATGGCAAGGTTCAGTGAGAGACCCTGCCTTGAAAAGTAAAGCAGAGAATCAATCGAGGAAGGCTCTGAACATCCACTTCTGGCTTCTACCCCTTCTGGCCTGAGTAAACACATCTGCACACAGATGACACCTAGTGAATGAATATATACAAAAATAAAACATTTAAATAAAAAAAATGCAAGGAAGTGTAAGGGTAATAGTAGGGTAATAGTCAAAGAAAAGCGGTAGCCACTCTGTTTCCACTTCACCAAGCTAAGTCTGTCCAGTTTTGAGGTAGAAAGCAGATGCTGAGTCCCATTTACTATCAAGATTATAGGAGTTACCAGCAGTTCAAAATTGAGGCCAGCTGCGCCTATGTGAGATTCTATCCCAAGAAAGTTCCTTGCCCAAAATCACGAAAACAAACAAAGACATACATTTATTACACAATCCTCATCTCACTTGTAGCTTGGAGTATGGATCACTTGAGATGCCTAGGAAACACTGTCTTACCTGACTGGGTATAACCTGAAACACACCCTAAACTTCCCCCAGCTGGCTACTGCTACTAGGAACAGGTTTCTGCTAAGTGTTCTGATAGTAGCCATCCATCAATTAGTGTATAAACTAACTTTAATATTAAACTAACTTTAATATAGTTAGTCATGTGATTTTTGAATGGTTTGAGTTTAAGTCTATAAAAGGTGCTCCATGGAATTGAGCAATGAGGAAAAATCTAGACACACACACACACACACACACACACACACCACCACCACCACCACCACCACCATCACCACCACCACCACCACTTTCTTTAGGAATAAAAGTAAAGAGAAGCCCCACGTAGTTCCTCAATGGCTTGCTGCAGTTCACACCAGCAAAGTGGTGGCTCTCAGCAGGCTGGGGGGGAGGTGATTATTTTAGAGCCTGTGGGTGAGTGATAATACTAACACAGTTTGCATTTGGTTGCTCTAGATATACAGCCCAAGCTAGTCTCAAACTCAGAGTCCTCCTGTCCAGCCTCCTGAGTGCTGGGATTCTTATGCAGTCACCATTATATTTGGCAACCAGATTTTTTTTTAACATTCCAGAAAATTTTTGGTACACATTTTGCCAGTGTTTTCGTCTGAGTCCATCTGAAATAACAAATGCAGTGTAAGTCAGGTCCTAAATATAAAGGAACATGGGTCAGGTAAGGTTTAGGTTAAAAAGAAATGTGCTTGGAATAGATATATAGGGAGGGAGCTGACCAGAGCAAGCCTGGCATCTTCTCCAAGGAAGACACAGGACAGGTTAGCTCACTGCAGATGCCATCCCCAGAAAACAGAGCCTCGAGTGAGCGAGCATACAGCCCACAGGTCTGAGCTGGCTGTCCCCAGTAGCTTGTCTCTGCAACAGAAGCAGAGACAAGCAACCGTGTCCTACTAAACAGTGAACAAAAACTCCACCGTAGTGAAAGTCCACAAAGTCAAGGCTTCCTTAGTTATATTCACAGCATCAAGGTGGGTGCCAGATTCTTTCACTATGTATGACAGACACCCACTCTCCTTTCACCTGGAAACCAGCTCTCCTGAGGCCGAAAGTAGTTCATACACAGGAGGGGTTGCCCCAATGGGTGATCAGATCCCTGGGTTTGCAAGCTCACAAGTATCACACATAAAAGCAAAACAAAGTTATGTTCTGGCACCGAAGGATGTCTTGATATCCTCCTTGGGTTCTGCCCCTGAGTCAGTAGAGACAGAGGCCAGCCAGTTCAACCCCAGTTCAAATATGTGAAATGACTTCCTAAAATGAAGTAAAATATGAAAGTGCTTGTTTTGGTTGAATTTTTATCAGTGAATTTTGGTTTATAGTACTTTTGGAAATGTTCACAATATGTGTTCCAATGCTTCCCCCTAGTGGTAAAGGTGACCCATTCAAGAGAGAGCCTGAATTTTGAGAGCCAAGATATTAGCTATTATGCTAACATAATTTCTCAAAGGGTTTTCCAAGAAATCTTGCTAAGTGCTATTAGGAAAAGACCTAGAATTGAAATAAGTCTTGAGAAACCTGAGTGAGATAATTGGAATCAATGTCTCTAGATGGGACTTTTCTTAAGTCTTTAATATGCTAATATCAAGGTGAGCATCCAGAGGGGAAATTAAATGAAGCTGAATTACCCCAAAGATATGGCCATGGAAGCTGTCCACAAATCATCTCCAGCAACTGTGGTGACCCACAAAGCACACTTCAGAAACATCGCCATGGAATAAAAGCTGGATTAAGATATTTTTTTTCTTTTTTTATATCATAAAGATCAACTAGTCAACAGAGACCCCCCCATACAATCCACAGGGTAATTTCCCTTTGCTCTTCCTACCAGTATTCCCATGAATGCCCCAGCACACATGCATGCATACCCAGGCAAATGTGGCCATGACTCATTTAAAAACCGTAGAGTGAAAGAGACAGAAATAGTGAGAAAAGGAAACAAGATGTTTCACTGCTTTGCCTGCTGCTAGTGGTGTCAGGGGTTATCTTCGCTTCATGTGACAGGTGAGAGATTTGAACTTGAGGATCCTGTGTAGACTCTGAATAGGCCACAAGCAGAACTGGGGGTCCAGTCTATTTCCAATCAGCTCCAAGGCCTACCCATTTACAATGTCAACAACACCTCGCTCTTTTCCGCAACAGCTAATAAAGAAGCAGTCCCTAGTCTGAGGATCCAGATAGCTAGAAACATAAACAGGTCCCAAACAAATTCAACTTAGGCCCTAAGTCAGGTAGTCACTGCTTTTAAATTATTCCCTAACATCTTTCCTACCACACGCGATTAACCAAAGCCTACCACAGTCATTCTGTAATTCATTCTGAAAGGGGTATGTGGCTTGGGGCCCGCCAGTTAGACAGGAGACGTTCACTGGGTGCTTCAGAGAAAAGTACCCCCATTCTGAAGAAAAAGAAACCGAGGAATCAGCTGTTTTCTTCAGATACAGTCATACCTGGATATGACTCCCTGTCC